CGAACCTGGTTTCAGGTTTCAGGTCACCAGTGCACCCACCCAAGGTGCAGCTGGAGAGAAGGGCAGGAGCCCGGGGTGCGCAGGTTGGGTGGCAGGTAGATGTGGCAGTGGGGCGTGCGCACGGCGGGTTGGCAGCATTGGTGCACAGGTGTTGCAGAATGGCAGGTAGGGTGGGGTGCGAGGGTGGAGGTGCGCAGGATGGGGTGCGCAAGTGGGGGTGCTCATGTGGAGGTGCGCAAGTGTGCTCGGAGGTGCTCAGTGGGGGTGAGCAGTGGTGCTAGTGGAGTGTGAGGTGTGAGCAGTGGTGGGTGGCAGTGGGATGCGCAGTGAGATGCGCAGTTGAGGGGGAGCAGGTGGTGTGCAAGGTGGAGGCGGTGAGCAGGTGGGCGCAGGTAGGTGCGCACGCGGGGTGCGGGGTGAGCAGTGGAGAGCATGTGGAGTGTGCATGTGGTACTAGTGAGTGGTAACCATGTGGTGAGCAGGGGGTGGTGTGCAGGTGGTGCACAGGTAGGTGTGAGCAAGTGGGGTAGCAGTGGGGTGCAGTGGTGCACAGGTGGAGGTGCGCAGGTGAGGGTGCGCAGGGGTGTGTGCAGGTGGTGCACAGGTGGGTGGGTGAGCAGGTGGGTGCGCAGGTGGGGATGCGCAGGGGGTTGTGGAAGCTGGTTGGCAGGTGAGGGAGCAGTGGCGGTGAAGGTGAGTGAGCAGGTGAGGTGCAGGGGCGCGTTGGGTTGCACTGGTGCGGTGGAGCAGGTGGGACGTTGCCACCTCACGCCCAGCCTTGGCATTGCTTTTTGAGAGTTTAATGGTGTATAATGGAGCACCCCAAAATAGCACAGCAGACATCCTCCCCCACCCCCCCGACCGCCAAGGACTGCAACCTACAACCCCAGTCTGCCTGTGTGGAATCTGGGCTCTGCCTCCTGGCCGTAGGTTGGTCTGAGTCCAGGCGGAGCCTCCCAAGGTCAAGGAGAAAGAGCGGCGGAGTGGTTCTGGCCTTTTCACACGCAGCAGAAACCCTCCGTTTGCATTGGTAGGGGGTGTCTCTGCCACAGCAATTTTTCAGAGATGAGTAGAATGAGTCCGTGTCAGCTGATAAGCACCCGGAGCCGCAGGCCCGGTGCCGGGAAGTGCCATTCTGCATGACTGGTTAACAAGGCCAAGGCCTCGCGCCGCGGGCGGGTTGTGGCTATAAATTCAGCGCTGTTCATTAAAAAATCTCAGTTTTAATGTAAACATATATCCTAGGTACACGACATCGTCTCTGCTGACAGGAGTACAATGCGACTGGGCGCGGGGGCTGTGAAATGAAATCTTGGCTCTGGAACCAGCTACGCCGAGCCCCGCAGTTCCTAGCCTGGGCCAGTCAGAAGGCTGTGTGAGCTCGGCCCTGTGCTTAACGTCTCGTGTCACTACTTCCCTTGTTGTTGAAAATGGAGTTGGAATGGATATTGTACCTACTTAAAAATTTGTGATGAGCCCGGCGCTTGTGGCTCACGCCTTGTAATCCTGAGCATCCTGGGGCCAAGGCGGAGGATTGCATTGATCTCAGGATTTCCCGAGACAGCCTGAGCCAAAGAGTGAGACCCTGCCAATGGTTTAGAGACTCTGGAAAAAAGAAAAGAAATAAAAGTATAATTTTAAATTATTATAAAAAAAAGAGTAAGACCCACTGCTCTCTACCAGTAAATAGAAGAAATTAGCCCGACAACTACAGAAATAGAAAAATGTAGGCCAGGGTTATTGAATGGCGCTGCCTGTAGCCCAGCTACTCTGGAGGCTGAGGCAGGAGATCGCTTGGAACCCCAGGACCGGAGGTTGCTAGTGAGCGTAGCCTGACGCCACGCGACTCGATAGCCCGGGCAAGCATAGTGAGACTCTGTCTGCAAAAACAGTAATATGATTGTTATGAGGAGTTATATGAGTTGGAAACACAGAAATGCACTAGGCATTAGGAAGGTAAGTACTTCAATACAAAATAATTTCTTTTTATATTTTGGTAAATACACATACATAAAATTTTCATTTAACGATTCTTTAATGTGCACGGTCTGTGGCATTGGTATGTTATTTTTTTTTTATTTTTTTTTTTTAAGAACGATGTTCTGTAATAATATGGGTTATGTTTACATTGGTTGGCAGCCATCGGCACCATCCATCTCCAGAACCTTCATCTCCCCGACAGAAAACTCTGGGGTTGGTAAACAACTCCAGGATTCCCCTCCGCCCCAGCCCCTGGCCACCGCCCATTCTACCTCGCTGTGTCGGTGACTGCTGACTGACTCTAGACCTCTCTAAGTGGCCATCATATGGTGTTGTCCTTTTGTGTCTGGTGTATTTCACTTGCATATGCTCCACAGATCCATCAGTGTAGCATGGGTCAGATTTCCCTCCTTTTTTTTTGAGACAGAAGTCTCCTTTGTGCCTACGGGCCTACAGTGAGTGCCATGGTGTCAGCCTAGCTCACAGCAACCTCAACACTCTGGGGCTCAAGCGATCCTTCGCGTGCATCAGCCTCCCAGTAGCTGGGACTTACAGGCCAATGCGCCACTCATGGCCTGGCTAAGTTTTGTCTATATGATATAGTTGGCCAATTATAATTCTTCTATTATTAGTAGAGCGGTGTGGTCTCGCTCTTGTCAGGCTGGTTTGAACCTCCGGCGTCCTCAGCAATCCGCGGTCGCGGCCTCGCCTCCCAGAGAGCTAGGATTACAGGCGGAGCCACCGCGCCCGGCCTTCCCTCTTTTTTGAGGCTGGATAATATTCGACTGGATGCACAGACTGAATTTTTTTTTTTTTTTTAGCGTGGTGTGACAGGTTACACTATATACCCATCATAGACTGAATTTTGTTTATCCTTTCATCTATCGATGGATACTTGGGTTGCTTCCACCTTCTGGCTATTGGTTCAGATATGTTGCCATGACATGTTGCGGTGTGCAAATCTCTCTTTTTTTTTGAGACAGAGACTCACTTGTTGCTCAAGGCTAAAGTGAGTGCCATACGTGCAGCCTAGCTCACAGGCAACCTCAAACTCCTGGCGCAGCAAGTCCTCGTGCCTCAAGCCTCCGCGAGTAGCTGGGCTACGGAGGGATTGCGCCACCATGCCGGCTAACTTTTTGTCTTATATATAGTTGGGCCAATTATTCTTTTTATCTATAGTTAACAAAGAACGGGGGGTCCCCCCCGGTTGTCTTGTCAGGCTGGTTCGAACTCCTGACCTCGAGCAATCCGGCCTGCCTCGGCCTCCCAGAGTGTAGGGATGACCAAGTGTGAGCGCACCCGCCCGGCCTGCAATATCTCTTGAACCCTGTTTTCAGTTCGTTTTGTAAACACCAGAAGGAGAATTTCCGGAGGGGGTCGAACCGGTAATTGCCGGTTGATCTGTTGCGAACTGCGCACGCTGTCTTCTGTGGTGGGCTTGACCCGGTCCCGTGGGTTTGACAGATGGCTAACTACAGGCTGACGAATCCAGCTTCTGCACCTTACAGATCTCGAGCCACAGACGACATGCCCCTACGTAATTGACCACATCGTTCGATAACAGAAACCACAGACAGAAAGACGGACCTGGAAAATCGTCTTGATGATTGAACCTTGTGGAGTGGCAGGATCTGACGTTGGGGGGGTTTGGACTACACAGAACAGAGGTTCCCAAGACACACAGCCCCGAGACACTGGCGGGGGCCAGATGGGGACACCCCGTGTTGGAACTGTCCGTATTGTGGTCTGCGGCGGCTGTCGTCTGTCTTCCTGCACTCTGTGTGTGGCTTGCCATTCTCCTCTCTTGCCTACGAGACCAACCCGCGGCGTGGGCCTCTCACTTAAGCTGGCGGAAGATATTGCTGCCATCGGCACCTGGCACGATGCTCTGTCGGAGAAATCAGGCAGCTTACCTGAAATGTCTCTGTCCCAAACTCACACCACTAGGAGAGGAGCTTCCTTGGCTCATCTTGGAGGAAGTCGGGCCCTGCTGCAGGTGCTGACGCATTATGCAGCACCCTCTAGGTGGTGGGATACAAGAAACAGAATGGACGAGATCCTGTTTCCGATGAGGTGATAGTCCACACACTGCCACGTGCGTATGTTATACGAGCACGGTCAAGAGCCAGCACCTTGCACGGTAGGATACAACGCTGAGCAAACCGCACAAACAGTAAGATTTGGCAATCTCTCTTTAAAAAAAAAAAAAAAAACACTGGAGATATCTGGTCCCCTCCCAACCGGCTCTGAAAGATTTCCTCTCACCTGCCTTTGCAAGGGCGTTTTATGATCCGGCATATTAATCAATTTGGTTCTTTATTAGTGCTGCCTAATTGTACCATGAACCATGATCATACGTTAAAAGACCTTTCTCTCACCCGGTGCTGATAATTGCTCGATCGAAGTGTGTAGGTGGCATGACTTGATTCAGACGATGAGTTTTTTCAAAACTTCCAGCCCACTCTACAACTCATCCAAAGAATGTTTGCTTTTTCCCTGTCAAATAGATCTCTTGATTCAATGTCTGTTAACAATTTAAAAGTCAAATCTCCCCTCTAAGGTTACTGAAT